CTTCATATATGATTGTATGATAAACAGAACATTACATGGGTGCTTGGAGATACGAATTTTATCTTCTCACTATGCTGACCTATGCTCGCTCGTGAGAGATCTTTTCAATATTAGGAGATAAAATCCGTAGCATTCTATAAAACAAATATGCCTTCTTTGTTTAATTCACGTTACAGATGACTTAATTCTTTYGAATGCTTTATGTAATTAATTGTCCTGATATTATATGGGTGATATTGGGCATTGTCACATGCTATGTTATGAATGTTCTTGAATTTTTATCGATTTTTTTTCTGTGCGTGTGATAGAACYAGTCACGTTCCTRTATAATAATTAATATGAATCATCAATCAAACACTTYGTGCTTTTCCCGACAGCTGGAGCAYAGTGTGAATACACTGAATTCAATTCACCCCTAAAGACATTGCCTTAMTGATGAATACCACTTTTTGTATTTCTTTACGGAATAATTATTAAGACAAAGGCGTGACTCTTGAACTCGCAACATTGATTTCTGAACTCGCATATTAATTAAACCTTGAACTCGCACTAAACAGTGTAATAATCACTCTGTTTTATAAACATCAGAGTACGATRATTAAAAGCGTGAAAAAGTGCTAACCAGATAGTACTAAATAACGCTAAATAGTGAATATATATGATATATGTTAAAATAAAATAAAATTGTACTTAAAKACTTGAATGATTCATTSTTTTRTTGCTACAAGTGGTTTCGKATAGTCATCAGAGATGACCAATTATATTTTATGCAATGCTCCTTGGCATAGTTGAGCACTTTTTTTTAAACATTTTCAATAATTTTAAGTATTATAGTGTATTACATCTCAGAACATGAATTTTCACTATTTATTTAATTAGTTGACTATTAATGGTTTAATCTATTAGCAACTACAAGGGATATTTGAAATAACTAAGGCGGCAGAATAAACCAAAATGACCCTGGGGATAAAACAGCCGACGACTGTAAGTTTATATTCAACCTTGGATACTTTGACTAAAGCACCGCCTGGGTATCATTTAATTTATTATAATGTATTATAATTGATTCATTTACTAAATATCATAGTCAAAATAGATGAAACAGCAAACTGAAAACTGCATGATAAGACGATCAATTTTATGAAGCCAAGTTAAGCAAAAGAAGGATCACTTCGTGAAAGAATTCACTGAATTCAAAATGACCAAATATCAAGTATGACCTAGGAATCCGCTTCTTACTATTAATAAAACCTGAAAATGAACTGARACGAAAAGTMCAAAAAGGTCCTCTAATTTAATGTATTGTCATGGCGATAGTCAATATATTGATGCCTTCATTTCCAGTGATTTTTATCCTTAGATCAAKCAATAGATATCGTATAGAGATACCGTTCATAGTACGATAGTAGCTGATACTAAGGTGAARAGGGCGCTCCACATAATCAAGACCATACAAACGATACATATAAACACAAGATGTAATCTAGATTTTATGCCGTCAAATTTCATTGTCAAATTTTATAGTTTAGTCATAAAACGCAGTTATCTGGTTCTTAAAATAGTTTGCGTAACCTTGGCGGGATTTGTACAAATATTGTACACAAATTGAWGGATTTGTAATAAAACTGGTAAGCYCTTTAACATGCTTTACGTACTGCGACTTCCTGTATTTTGGATTTATTTAGCAAACACGCATAGTATTAAACTTACGTGAGTAGAAAACCGGTAAAGAGTTTGTATAAGGTGTCTTGAAGCCTTTATTGACGTCGGTCCCGTCTCTAACGTGTGGTGGAACTGCATCATCGCCATAATCAACCAAAACCCCAAACAGAACGATGAGAAGAGCTTGAAAGACTAGCGCAACGACGTTGAATGTTATACGTGGCTCTGCCATAGCTACACCTTAAACCTACCTCAGGAAAATATAAACCTTGCAGTTAGTAAACAAAAGCTTTTATAGTTGCCTGTCGCAATGCTTGATGGTTAGGATAAGGGGCGCACCAAGCCGTCCACAACGACCACTAAAAACAATCTGAAGTCGAGTAGATATTATGATAAGGACTTGTTCTAAATACCTATCAAAGGATTGGAAGAATATCGTATGACCTTAAAAAATGTTTTTTTAGGCACTACAAAAGACAGTACTGATCACCTTGAATAACGAACTAATGCATAAATTTATTATTGCCACACAACACGAGATCTCGGATGATCCTAGTTGACAATGTTTGTGCCTCAAGGCGAATGCTTTAGTGGAATGGTTTTTATGGAATTCAAACAATCATAGGTTACAAAGGGTAAAAGAGCATATGTTTTTTTCGGTGACTCTTGACTGACTAGTATTGCACAATAAACTTAACGGTACATGGCTAAAATGCTGGAGTTGATGGAGTTCTATAAGTCTACTTATTGCGCAAAAGTGGTTACGAAAGACGAATGTAAAATTATGCCTTTCTTTCCATAGAACTGAGCTTAACCTCCTTGAGTGTAACAATAGAATTCTCTAATATGGATTATAGGACATATTGTATTATAAGAGCCTAGTTGTTCAAACTATTTGTGTACGAGATGAAGTGTTATGCAGCTTGTAGTTTCTTAAAACGTCTTTCAGCCAGTGCTTGACGTACTGCTTATAAATTGGTAAGATTCCAAATAACGAACTGTCAACAAGCTTTTACAATTACTGAAGCATAAATCAGTTGTAATGATGGAAATATTATAAATGAAGAAGGTATGTTATTAAAACAAACCAATTAAAACGCTGGAAATCATAATGACAATGGTCAATGCGATTGAAGATCGATTTTTTAACAGTAGTTTCAGCTATCTTTTAGCCATTATGTAAACACTCTCCGCTTCATTGGAGTTATATTAGCAGTCCTCCAAACACACCCCCGACAAACCTCTACCTCCTAAGTCTCGTTATTGTTTCTATTGTTTGTTTTTTGTTTCAGTAAACGTTTTGCGTCGACTTTATGTTATGTCTCTCATTTGTCTCATATATAGTGAATATACTAATCGTCAGTAAGTAGCCATCAATATTTCTTGAACGTGATGGAACGCTTGTCTACACAGAGGGGCTCCAGAACGCAACAAAGCAAAACATTGAAATTATAAAACAGAATTATGATCGAGTACCATCTAAACTCGAATTCTCGCTATCTACACTCTTGCAACTCGTTCAACAAATCTGCATCTGAATATTTATAGAGCTTACACCGACACCCTAGATTGGATTTTTTATTAAGACTCTGTCCTGCCTTTCAGTGATATAAGTATAGAGGGTCAGATATCAAGAAATATAAATAAAATACTGGGTACAAAGAGATTATTATATACCAGCTCATCAATCGCAATTCTGAATCGGATGCTTTGATCTAGCCCGACTGAGCTCTCTTAGAGTGTTCAGTAGTGATAAATCTGCGACTGTTGTTTGGATTTGTTCGTTAAGCTTCTTTGGCCCTTTGGCGACCTCTTCTGTATTTGTACAGGTTGGAATGAAGGCACACATTTCTAAGTGTCTGAAATTCTTTTTTTTAATGTCTAGTGTCAGTGACAGAATACGCGATACATACGATCAGCGGTTTAAATCTATTCTTTGTGTGCACTCCGAAATCGGTATCTTAAAAAAATCACATTTTGATTCCTTAATATGTACTGTTCCTTAGTGTATATGGTCTTACACTTAGAGAGCATTTAAAAAGACATATTTTTTGGTCTTTTTTTTTGCTGTTTTTGTTGTTGTTTTTTTGAGTGCTAAGCAACCACAAGGTAACAACAACTCATGTAACGAATCTGTTTTCCACAAGATACCCTAATTGACTATTGAGTTGCATGGATGTTAAAAGGAAACCAACCCGTCAAATTGGCTCCAAGCTTTTCCCCAGAAACTCTACTTCACCGCGCGATATATTCTACAATGACAACAGTAGATCATGTTGTGAGGTCAAGCCCTTTCCTACAACTCTGGAATGGAAACCAACGGCGCTTTTATTTGACTAGGAGAGAAGTGACGCGCGCGGAACGTTTATCCTGAGTCTTCGTTTAAACAGCACCACAATGATAGCAATACTTCGTCCACTCTCTGAGAGACACGAGTCCACGAGTTATCAACAATAATGGACAAAATAGTTTAGTTCATCATCCAAATTTAAATATTTTTTCAAATCTAATATCGATGTTACCCTCCGCCCCCCATCTTCCCTCTTCCCCACTCACTACCAACAATGATGTTATACAGGATGTTATTAAACTTAAGAATAATCGGAAACAGCATTGTAACGGGGTACGGCATGAATTCTCTCGTTTTTGTCAACATGACAAATGATTTGTAGTGAGTTGCAATTTTGCGTTGCAATGTCCCGCATCAAAATGTCTAAGATTGTAAGATTATAAATCCGTTAGAGTTGCTGGTAACCATGGAGAGCGCAGTGTTACTGCAGTAAACTTAACCCGCTATGATCCCTTTTTCCCAGGCCAACCTCAGCATCCAAGGCATGATGCGCCTCCTGGCGCGAAGAGAAATGATGATGTTAACCTATGTCTGCTCAACGCCGTGTTCCTTAGAGTCATTTTACAGTAACAACAGTATATTGTTTATAGAACTAACACATTTACAACTTTCGATGAATRTCSTCAAACTATTGGAAACTTTCACCTTTGAACACAGAATCTCAATAAGGTAACTGCAACAATCTCGTCAAAAATATTTGTCTGTTTTATATATYTTGTTGTTGCCGGTGTTGTTATCTTCTGTCTCATCAATTTCTGCTAGTGTGCATCCTTGTCAAGTTGGTCAAACTGAATCTTGCCTTGAAAACCGTGTTTTCTCGTTTTTTCTCGATTTTTCTCGTTTTTTCTTTTCTTTTTTTCACAGTTTCATCCAATCAATGCGCGCGTCGTATGATTTGTTGCCCATCATCGATCTTTGTCCATAGATGACAGGAAGCCCGACAAAAGTAGGCTGTAAAGGAGACTACTTTTGCAGAATTTTTAATGTTGCATAAACTAAAGCTCGAAAGGGATGCCGGTGGATCATGGATCTTTAAACTACAATTGCGAGCATAATGTGTTGGATCGCCTGTGCTAAAGACGGAGTGTGTGCTTAATAAAATTTATTTTACACAATAAGCCCATTGCTTCCCCTCTTCCCCGATACAATGTTGGTAGTCCTCAATGTAACTGATCAATGTCATCACCTAACAAGAAGAGGGAGGGGGAGTTGTGGGGAGGTACTCTAAAGTATGCAATTTCGCKGGCTCATTTKYGACACTAACAGTTTTGTCCCCGATGGTAGCTAATGGTCTTTGTATCCACTATTCCTGACTTCCATTGTCCAGATGTGATGGTTTATTTTAGASGATGAATCAGTATAAYGGCAGTARGGAGTTTGTCAGTGACAAATAGCACTCGTCCCATTGGTCTATAAATAGATTGTCAACTAGTTTTTCATCTTGATTTTAAACGTGTTTTTCTTATTAAAACAAAATACAAAATTACATCACTAGTTTTGCATTACATTGTTATATTCCAAGAAGATTAAATTTGCTAATAATGAAAAGATTCATCTATGTAATTTCAATTAAAATTCTACCATTCCACTATCATGCCACCATTACACATGACCGTGCGAGATCTCTTAAAGGGACATGGTCCACCAGCATTCACTGCGGTCGTGTTTTAGATTTTTCATATATGGAAAATGAGGTGACTTCAAATATCCATTCGCAATCCGTTTCCATCTAACGGTTTAAACGTCGAATCTTACAGTACCTTCATTCATATAGTATAAAGGGATAATAAAGAGTGAGTTTTTGCCTATATTACGATGTATTTTTATTTTCAAACATAAAAAGGTAAAAGCTCGAAAGGGATGCTGGTAGACCATGTCCCTTTAAATGCGTGCCCTCGAATCACAGTTTGTGGATTTAAATGTTCTTTTCAATAACCACACGCATGGCATCCTCATTCATCATCACCTGAAATCGAACAAACTTTTGTTAATATACACATTAATTAAGAGCGAATATTATCAACGATCGAGAATTTGACATTTCGGCGACCACGACTKTGTCAAATCCTTGATACTTTGTGATATGCATGAAACCTTTGGATAGAGATTTTTTAAAATGCATACCAAAAGCTTTCAGAAATTTCTTAATTTGGAGAAAGTCGCCAAAAGTTTAAAATGTCCCCACGAGCATGATTATCGCTTCGAGAAATTGATGATTGAAGAAAGTCATCCTCCT